GAGAGAGAGAGAGAGAGAGAGAGAGAGAGAGAGAGAGAGAGAGAGCCTGCTCATGCTCCAGCTAAGCCTGTGCCAGGGATCCACCCCATCTACATGCTAATGTGACCTGTCGGGCAGTGTGTGTGTGTGTGTGTGTGTGTGTGTGTGTGTGTGTGTGTGTGTACCACTGGCTCAGCTGTGAAGGCCCTGGAAATTCACTAAGTGAATGGATCTTGAGACATGAGGATTTCCTCTGGTGTCTGGGTAGACTGGCCCTTGGTGGATATTCTACTTTGGAGCCCTGGTTTGTGTTGAGGCTAACTGGTTCTGGGAGGCAGCTCCTGGTTCTGGATGTGCGTGTGCTAAGAGAAGGTGCTCGGGAAGAGCAATAGAGAGTATGTGAAGGTCAGAAGAAGGGAGACTGTAACTTAAAAGCTGCATTGGTCTTTCCAGGTCCACACCAAGGAGTTCTCTATCCACCCTGAAGACAAAGCAGTGGCTTCTACTGGGCACCTCTTCCCTTTCAGATCATGGCCTGAATACAGACACTTGTGCTACCAATTTCACTTCAAAGTAAGTTTAAAAGCACTTAAATTTAGTTGAGAAGCATTGCGCCAATGGTACTATTTTAATATTTAATGGTATTGGAAGGTAGTTGACTAAATATACCTCTAAAATGCCCAGAATTAGAACTACGTAGCTTGCATACAGAAAGGTTGGCAAGTTAGGATGAAAATGGTGGGTGACATTTCTTAACATTTAAAGAACAAAACCATATGAATGGGTGCATGCCTGTGTATGTTCTGGCATTGAATAGACACAGAAATGTGTTTGGGCTTTGAGGTTTATGTTTATTAATTTGTTTGAGACAGTTTCATTATAGCCAATGCTGGCCTTGAACTTGGAATCTTCCCGCCTCAGCCTCCTAGCTGCTGTGATTACAGGTATGTGCTTTTGTAAGACCCAGAAGGGTGTGTGCTAAGCCAGTGGTGTTCTCTGCACAGTGGGAGGGAGGGGCAGGAGAGCACAGGCAAGCCTTTCCTTTCTGTAGGTACCCCAGCACCACCCCACCACCTTCCAAGAACACTGTAAAATAACCAGTAGAAAAAGGAGGAATAGAGCAGAAACCTCACTGAATTCCAGCCCGCTGTCCCACCCCCCAGCAGATCCATCCGGAGGGGTTCCTGGAGTGGTAGACTTTAAAGTTCCCAAGCCAGCAAGCATCATTCGAACCCCAGTACTAGGTCTTCAAAGCAATTCTCCAAAATCAGCAGACAGGGTGGGAATTTCACCTTACAAGAGTCAGAGCAGAGACTCAAGAGAGCACAGTGGCTCGCTCAGGTCTCATAGGAAATGGTAACTGTGAAGAGGGTGGAAGGGACCATGCTCTTTCCGGTTCCCACTGCCCAGTCTTTCTGTTGCCTCCCCGAGGTAGGTAGAGCAGATTCTGCAGGAGGCTTTTAGAACCACTGGCCCCACATCCACCCAGTCGAAGGGCTTGTCATTATCGTCTTCCAACATCTCTCTGGTGCAGTGTGTATCTTCAGACACTCAACCTTTCTGAAGGAGGCATGCTTTAGGAGTTTGAAATTGCCAGTGGAAATAGGCACTCTTGGCTCCTCACTTTTCTGGGCCTCATCTGGGTCCTAGATAAACATGTCAAACTCCGTGAAGTTATGGTGTGTGTGTATATGTGTGTGAATGTGCAGTTGGAGGTGATCTGGGGTTTACAAATTGAACCACTACTTCTCTTTCTGGGAAGTTAGAATAGCACCATCAAAGTATCTGCAGAGGCGGTGACGTTGATGGAGATTGCAATTGCAGTGACACAAGGCTGATCACTGAGGCGGGGAAGGCTTCCTGGAGTTCAAGGGCCAGCTCAGCTCAGCTGGTATTTACCTGGGTTTAGTTTTGGAAGGTTCTATGTCTAGGAACTTGAACATTTCTTCTAGATTTTCTAGTTTTTATAATATAAATTTTCAAAGCAGAACTCCAAGGATCCTCTATACTTCATTGAAATCTGTTGTTCCCCCTTTTCACCTCTAATTTTAAAGACTTATTTATTTGTGTGTATGTGTGCATGTATTTGGTGCCCCCAGAGGCCAGAAGCCGATGTTGGATACTCTGGAGCTGGAGTTACAGGCTATTGGACATGCCCTACATGGGTGCTGGGGGCTCAACTCCAGGCCTCTGGAAGAAGAGGAAGTGCTCTTAACTCCTGAGGCATGTCCTCAGGCCCTTGTCTCTAGTTTTAATTTGGGTCTTCTCTTTTGATTAGGTGTGTTGATCTTATTTATCTTTTCAAAGGCCCAACTCTGTATTTCATTTATTATTTGTATTACTCCTTTAGTAATACAGAGGAGGCCATGTCCAGTGTCAGGCAGTTCCCGGGCTTCAACTGTGGCTACTGGATTCAGCAACACAAGGTTATCCAGGAAGATGGTAAGACGTGCAGGAAGAGATAGGTAAGTAGGTAGGCAGGCAGGCAGGCAGACACATAGATAGAAGGCAAGATATGTAGGAAGAGATGGGTGGACAGACAGACAGACAGACAGATGGTGAGTGTAAGCAGAGATGCCGACTAAGGCTGAAGAGAAAAGGGACAAGAGCTTCAGAGGGAGCCTGGAAAGAAGGGGGCTTTGTGAGTTTGGGTCTTGATGTTTTTTCTCCATTTTGTTTTGGAGTTTTAAAAGGTGAGAGAAATTCTTGTCTCTAAATATAGCCTGTCCATGTGGCAGAGTGGAGCCTTCTGAACCCTTTTTGGTCTGGACTGCTGCGGATTTTAGAACAGCAAATAAAGCCCATTAAGACTAAAACTGCAACAAGAGTGGCAAGTCAGACCCAAAAGACAGAAAAGACATGGTACAGAAAACAATGTTTGCAGAGGTGGGATGTGGGGGCCGAGGGCTACCAGAGCAGGGCAGGTGTCAGACAGGCCTGCAGATCGGCACAGGAACGGACACAGGACAAGTCTCCACCCACTCACCCACTCTGAGGAGAGAGGCAAAACTCTCATGTGAAACCTTTTCCCTCACCAAGCAGAATGAGATGTGTAGATAGCTAGACTTTTACTTTTGATTTCACCAAATTAACAGGGCTGTTCACTTCAGAGTTCAACCAGCAATGCATGACTGGGCCTGCTACCCACTGCCCACCCACTTTTCCATCTGACAGGATGGTACCAACAAATTGTGAGACTTCGCCGGGCGGTGGTGGCGCATGCCTTTAAACCCAGTACTCGGGAGGCACAGCCAGGCGGATCTTTGTGAGTTCGGGTCCAGCCTGGCCTACAGAGCAAGATCCAGGACAGGCACCAAAACTACACAGAGAAACCCTGTCTCGAAAAAAACAAAACAAAACAAAAAACAAAAAAGTGAGACTTCTGTAAATCTAATGGGTTGAAAATGGTCTTCGGCACACTGTTAATAAATATTTATCTCCCCAGGAGGTGGTGGTGCACACCTTCAATCCCAGCACTCAGGAGGCAGAGACAGGCAGATCCCTGTGAGTTTGAGGCCAGCCTGGTCTACAGAGTGAGTTCCAGGACAGGCAGGGCTACACAAAGAAACACTGTCTTGAAAAACCAACCAACCAATCAATCAATCAATAAAATAATAAAAAAAAAATCTCTAAAAGACTGAAGCTTGGGCAAAGCTACACAGAGAAACCCTGTCTCGAAAAACCAAAAAAAAAAAAAAAAAAAGACTGAAGCTTGGGAAGAACTACAACCACCACTTTAGTAAACCAGCAGAATCCCTAACTATACTCTAGATATTTGTCTTTATACTCAGATAAATGTAGTCTTCACTTCTCATCAAGAAAACTTCTCTTTGCAACAGAAGGAGACAATGACTGAAAACCACAACCAATCAAAATGCAGAGTTGTGGAACTCGATCCCAATGGATACATCTACAAAAAAGCTCCCACACCTAAGGCTTGGGGGACATTGTGGGAGAGGGGGCAGAAAGACTGCAGGAGCTGGAGGATCAGGGAGTTTGCAGTGAGACCGTTTTCCTAGTAATGTCAGAAGCCACACCCACAGCCTCACCAACACGACCCAAACATGAGCTGAACAAAGACAACAACAGACATGCCAAAGTGGATGAGGGAAAGCTCTCAACACCATACAGAGAGTCATAGGCTGCCAGGCACTGGTGGCGCTGCTCGCCTTTAATGTTGAAACTCAGGAGGCAGAGGCAGGGAGATCTCTGTGAGTTTGAGGACACCCTGGCCTACAGAGTGAGTTCCAGGACAGTCAGGGCTACACAGAGAAAAACAAACAAACAAACAAACAAACAACTACAGGCAACTAGGGAATGCTGAGAGTGGGAGAAGAGCATATTCGTTGGTTATCCAATTCCCAAATGGTCAGCTCTGAAAACATAAGTAACACAATACAGACTGAGCAGGTAGTGATAGTGTATATATGTATGTACACACACACATACACACATAACAATTAATGGATGAAGAGACTGAATTTGAAAGAGGGCAAGGAGGGATATATGGGAAGGTTAGGAGGGAGAAGAGGGAAGGGAGAAATGATGCAATACTACTTGATTCTAAAAAATACGATTGAAGCTAAGCATCTTTTCCTGCGGTGAGCATCTTTCCTATGCTTCAGAGCCACCTGGACCTCTTCTGTGCACTGCTTGGGTCTCTTACTGGTGTTCTTCTCTGCTGCTGCAGTTCTCAACTGGGCTCTGTGGTTTGCTCAGGGGTCTCATGACCCAGTCAGTGAAAAACTAGAGTGATAAAAGACACCGTGCCCTAACCCAAAACCCATGTATCCACATTGCATACGTAGGTTTATCTCCCCACCCCACCCCACCCCCAGGTTTCTCTGTGTAGTTTTGGTGCCTGTCCTGGATCTCACTCTGTAGACCAGGCTGGCCTTGAACTCACAGAGATCCGCCTGCCTCTGCCTCCTAAGTGTGTGTGTGTGTGTGTGTGTGTGTGTGTGTGCACGTGTGTGTGCGTGCGCGCCACTGTGCATACTGGAGGTCACAGGACAACTTTCAGGAATCTGTTTTCTCCTTCCACCATGCTGGTTCCAGAACAAACTTGGGTTGTCAGGCATGGTGGCAAGAGCCAATGAGCTATCCTGCTGGCCTAAAGGTTTGTTGATGTTGTTACTTGTTTTGCATTTTTAGATTCTGAAACTACATTAGATTTACATAATGAAGAAACATTCAAATATATATTTTCACGTACTTTTACAGGTTGAACACATTCCTGCAACTGGTATCAGATCAAGAAATGGATATCTGAGGAACTTCAGAAATTCCTTTCAAAAGTCCCTGGCCTCATCACGAACTTTTCCCAGCAGCTTTACTAATTGATCCCATTTTTCCACTTAAACCTTCCTGACGTCATCACACATTTAAACTGCAAAATCCAAATGACAGAGGCCAGCTCACCTGGGGTCTTTCAAGCTTTGAAAGCCTCAAAGAGAAGCTGAGAAGCTGTCACCCTGCGCCCTCTGTTGGCCAGAAGCAGCTATTAGGAAATGGTCTCACTGTTAGTGAGGGTTAGTTAGAATCCAGCTCAGGCTGTGGCCAATTTACCAGGAACCAGGAGAGGCGAACTGAGTCAGGTCGTTCACAATGCATCACCATAGTAGTCTTTTGCTCCCTATTCTGTTCCCCCACATCCGAGGAAAGCAAATGACTAAATAACAGAGTATGACAGCTTTAGGAGCCTACACAGAGGGCAGAAAGAACAGTCAATCCCTACCTACCCAGCCCTTGCCTATCCCCCCAAACAAGAGCATGTGCCCCATTGCTCAGCTCAAAGGCTGAAGGGATCAGCTGTCATTAGCTGGTGATTCTAAAATGCCAATAAACAGCTGGGAGTCTTTGCTGAGATGACTGATGGATGGCTCCATAAACTTGTTCATTCATTCAGTACAGTGGCAGGCCTGTGCAAGACACGGGGACACAAGATGTGAGTCCTGCTCTGATGAAGTGAGCACGAAGTGCCATTGGAGCTCCAGTACAAGGGCATCTAAACTACACAGGTCCAAGTGGGGCGGCAGGGGCTGAGGGGAGAAAATGTACCAGGTGTTTCTTGCCATCCAGAAACTCAGAATACAGCAGACAAGGAAAAGACATGTTGAATATCCCAGTTATTTTTATTTTTTTTTTTGTCAACTTGACCTAAGTTAAGAGTTTTCTGGGAAGAGGAACCTCAATCGAGAAAATTGCCTCTGTCAGATTGCCTATAGGCAAGGCTGTGGGACACTGTCTTGATTGATGATTAACTGGGGAGGGCCCAGGCCGTTGTCAGTGCCATTCCTGGGCAAGCCGCCGTCCTGGGGTGTATAAGCAAAGTGTGCAAGCCAGAAGGATCCAGCTTGTAAGCAGGCTTCCTCTGTGGTCCGTTTCTGTTCTGCCTCCTGATCTGAGCTCCTCTTTCCCTCAGTGAACAGGGACCTAGAATATGTAAGCCAAATAAACCCTTTCTTCCCCAAGTCGGTTTGGCTCACGGTGCTTTTATGACTGACAGGAATCTAACCAAGACACTGGGTAAAAGGCTGGAGGGAAACTGAAAGAGTGGGACCCTGAAGCCCTGAGTGGAGTGTCACAGGAGTGCTCGAGCTGGGGAGGGGACTGGAGCTGGCAAGCGACCATAGGGAAGGTCACACCCATTTAGGGCAAGTTCTGAAGGTCATTGTAGCACAAATCTTAAATGTTCTCATTAATAAAAACTCAGTGCCAGGTATTGGTGTAAATTCTGAAAGATCAGACAAACGAACAAGCCACATCCAACCTCACTTCGTCAATTCCTCAGCTGATCTTGTTTCCTTAGACTAGAAGCTTCTGTGTCCTCATCTGAATGGATCTCAGCTGAACTGCTACTAAAAGCCTAAAAGCTTAACAAGCCTCTAGTTCCTGGACCTCATGCCTTATATACCTTTCTGCTACCTGCTGTCAATTCCTGGAATTAAAGGCGTGTGTCACCATGCCTGGCTATTTCCAGTGTGGCTCTGAACTCAATGGATCTCTGCCTCCAGAATGCTAGGATTAAAGTTGTGTATGCAACCATTTTTCTGGCCTCTATGTCTATCTAGTGGATGCTCTGTTCTCTGACCCCAGATAAGGGTGTACAATATATTGGGGGACACAATATCACCACAGGTCATGGTTCAAGTCTTTGTCAAGATGCGCAGATCAAATCAGAAGGACTCCATCTATCTTGACTGGTGTTCTATATACCACATACCCATTGATGAATGTAGCTAGAGTTTTCCTGCCTTGCCCACAGTCAGGACAAATCTTTGTCACCCGCCAGTCCGACAGCCGCTCAGACCCAACCAAGTAAACACAGAGACTTATATTGCATACAAACTGTATGGCCGTGGCAGGCTTCTTGCTAACTGTTCTTATAGCTTAAATTAATCCATTTCCATAAATCTATACCTTGCCACGTGGCTCGTCGGCATCTTCACATGCGGCTTGTCATGGTGGCGGCTGGCAGTGTCTCTGACTCAGCCTTCCACTTCCCAGAATTCTTCTCCTCCTTGTCCTGCCTATACTTCCTCCTGTCTGACTACCTGCCAATCAGTGTTTTATTTACTAACCAATCAGAGCAACACATTTGCCATACAGAACATCCCACAGCAGATTAACACACAGAATGTATCCTTTCAGTAGCTGATTTTTGCTTTCATCTGGAGTTCCAGTTCTCTATGGTCCAAGTCAACTTGTCAAGCCTGGTCCTCCTGGATTCCCTCAGTGAACTGGGTCACCTTCTGGCTTCAACTAGCCCGGAGTCTTCCCAGCACCCTGAAAGGCTAGTCTCTCCAGAACTCACTCCATCCTGTAGCCCTTATTCCTCCTATACTATCTTCTCACCTGCTTTCTCGGGTGATTACAAACTACTAACTGGCACACTGCCATCTTGAGAATAATTCATGACATTCTGGCCAAAGTCCAGGCTGGGCTGGCCTCACCCACAACTGGTCTCTTTCCTCCTCTTTCCTTTGCCCAGGCAGGGCTGCCTTTTGAGCCTCAGTAACATCTCTCCAAAGCACTGCCAAAGCAGGCTGGGCACCTTTTACTATGCACAAAGCACACCACGCTCCTGGTTCTGTGGCTAAGGAGTCCACGACCTTACTTCTCAAGGACTTTTGCACAGCAGTGGACAAGCAGTCAGTGCTCAGTGAGGTCTAAGGAGTAACTAAGAGGCACCCTGCCAGGCTGTGCAAACCCAACTCAGCTCTCTTTGCCCTCCCAGTCTTCCCAAATGATCACTATGCATCCATTCCCCGCCATCACCACCACGCTACTCTGGGGACAGGAAATGTTTTCAGATAGTTGTGAAGATTCAAGACATTTAAATCGCCACACTGAACATTTTAGTATGTTTGGCCAGCAATTACTGAGTTCGAGGTTTGTACAACACAAGACTTTAGGCCCTGGGGATGCATATTTTCAACTCTAAATTATCTCTTCCCCCTTTTTTATTTCTGGCATCAACTGAACTCAGGGTGTTGTAATGCTGGACAGGTGTTCCACCACTGAGTGATCTTCCCAGGCCAAGATATCACTTTAAAGACTTACCATTTATTCGAGGTGTAATTAAGAAAAAAAATGTGGGGAAATGTGCACCCAAGACTTAATTAACAAGTAGTGATAAAGCCAAGAGACCAAGTCTTTGTCCTCAGCGTAGCTTCTATGTGAGCAACAGTAAATTTCTCTAGAAGTACACTGAAGTGTCATAGAGGTTATTAAAGGAAGAATGAACAGTGGAAAAGGATTTGGGAGTGAAGGAGACTGTTGCAGTAGTCATGGAGGTCTCTCTGGGGAAAGGGTTTAAACAGAGACCTGGATGATGAACTGTGGGTAAACAATATTCTAGTGGAGGAAACGGCAAACCTAGACAGATCTGAGAGAAACAGCTGGCGAGTTCAGGCCACACAAGGCGAGGACAACTGGAACAGGGTCCTGGATCTGGGCAATTTCCTCAAGCACTGCTATCTGGCATAGTTACGTGCATGGGGTGCTGGAGTGGGGAGGTTGAAAACGTAACAGCTCAGGAGGAAGGGTGTAGCAACTACCCCAGGCAGGGTAAGGAGCCACACCCCCAGAAAGTGTCTAACTTCATGGGGCTGTGCTTGCACAAGACGTTTTTACTTTTTAGTACTTACTATCATACTAGGTGAAAATAAGGTAAATCGAGGTCATCAGAATTGTATTGAGCATCTACTAACTCAAGGATTGTGTTCTGCTCTATAGGAATTCCTTAGTGACCCAGAGATCATCTTTCCTGGGGATCTGCAGAGATTTTACCAAACACTTTGAAATGGTAGCTTAAAAACACATATTTGGTCTTGATGCAAGTCAGCTGGCAATGTCTGAAGAAGAAACTCAATTTTCCTTTATTATTTATTATTATTTCCAGCTGTTGAGGAGAATGGCTGTGGATAAACAGGTTTGTAACACATTTTGGAATAAAAAAAACAATCTTTTGTTCATTGTTCTTACGTGTTACTGATGTATGTATGTATGTATGTTCACACAGGTAAAGAAAGGGTACAACTTGATGGTGTTGATTCTCACTTTTCACCTTTGCATGGCCTCCAGGGACCAGGCTCAGGTCATCAGGTTCTGTGGCATGTCCTTTATCCACTAAACTATCTTCCTAACCTCACTTACTAGCACTATGTAACACAGGACAAGTTAAGCTAGTAAGGTAGGTTATCTTAGTTCCCTGAATCCCAGTCTTCCCTATCTGTAGGATGTGTAAATTCAGGAACATTAAATTTGAGAAAATGCTAATCAGTGAAGAGTAACTACTGTCATTAGCATCACTGAGTTACAAGAGGGTTTGTCTGTTGTGTGTTTTTCATTGTGGACCAGTTACTCTACAGAGAGAACTTAACTGTTTTATTCAGGAAGGATCACATGCTTTATGTTTAACAACCCTATACAGATGTTCCTTAACCATGAAGGGGACACATCTTACTTAGCAGATCACAAGAGGAACACATTATACACCCCAAACATACTTAATACTCAACACCAGAGCTCAGCAACAGAGCACTAGGAACACCAGTTTGCCCTGCGATTCCCGTGAGTGAATGGGAGCTGCAGCCCCCTATGCTGGCCAGCATCCAGAGTATCACAGGGTAGTTTTAGCTTGGAAAAACACCAAAACTCAAAATCTGAAGCAGTTCCCATCGAATGCAAAAGGCTTTCACATCATTATAAAGTTAAAATAACAGAAAGTCCTACACTGGGCATGGATATGCCCATGATTTCAGACTTGGGAGCCTGAGGCATAAGGATCTCAAGTTCCAGGCCAGTCCGAACAAAGAGACAGGCCCAGGCTAAAACAAAACAAAAAATAGAAAAAAAAAATTCAAAGCCAACTGTCCGAGGACAAGGGGGAGCTGTCTGTCCACGAAGTGTAGATTCCATTCTCCATGGGTTGACTCTAGTTAAGCTGGACATAGCAGCCTGGCCAGCTACTGATTACATTTATAGGAGGGCCCAGTTTGAGTTCAGGGGAAAACCCACTCTAGGATTTAGTTGCCAGAACCAACTCTACTTTTGAGAAGTGGAACTTGGGAGTGGCAGGCGAGGGGGAAGCGCCCCCAAATAGATCAGGTCCTGGCGAAGGCAGTAGGGGGGTCTCACACAGCTCACACCTTGCCCGCTTGCCATCTGAGCAACTGTTAGAGCCTTAAAAAGGGTCACTAAAAACCAGAGACAGGTAAATTGCTTAATAACATACATGTATTTCCCACCAGATGCTCCCAAACTATTTTGGAAAAAACAAAAACAAACCAAAATGCCTTGGCTGATACCGTTGCATTTCCAGGTGAAGTAACCGAAGCCCAGTGGCAACAGTTGCTTTATGTTATCAAGAGATACATCAAAAGTGAAGGCATGGGAGGCTGAGGCAGGGGATCAACGCATGTTTTAGGACAGCCTGGCCTATACAGATAAGATCCTGTTTAAAAAAAAAAAAAAGCCAGGCCGTGGTGGCACACGCCTTTAATCACAGCACTCGGGAGGCAGAGGCAGGCGGGTCTCTGAGAGTTTGAGGCCAGCCTGGTCTACACACTGAGTTCCAGGACAGCCAGGGCTGTTACACAGAGAAATCCTATCTTGAGACAAAACAAGCCCTCTATTTAACCAGGCAGTGGTGCTGCACGCCTTTAATCCCAGCACTCGGGAGGCAGGGCCAGGAGGATCTCTGTGAGTTCGAGGCCAGCCTGATCTACAGACCGAGATCCAGGGCAGGCCCAAAGCTACAGAGAGAAACATTGTCTGAAAAACAAAACAAACAAAACTAGCTGGGCGGTGGTGGTGCACGCCTTTAATCCCAGAACTCGGGGGGCGGAGCCAGACTAATCTCGGTGAATTCCAGGCCAGCCTGGTTTCGAGATCCAGGACAGGCACCAAAGCTACACAGAGAAACCCTGTCTCGAAAAACCAACCAACCAAACAAAAAAAACCTAAA